AAAATACGCAAGCTGTATCGTTAAAGAATGGTTAAAGCAGAAGAAAAGACTGTTGGCTTACCTGAATGGTCGTTCTCTGGGCGCTGCGAGGAGAGTCCAAGTGTGGGTTAACACAGTCTATCTGCCCTAGGACTGACTTTTTCTCTTGGCCACGCCTCCCTTTGCCTCCATTATTTCAGTTTTAAAACAAAGACGCAACCGTGCAGGAAGCCTTTTTCAAAGTCACATCCAGTCAGTAGTCTCAATTTGCCAGGTAAGCCAACGGTCTTTCTCCAGTGCGCTGTTTGGAGAGTCCAAGTGTGGGACATACCCAAGCTATAATGTCCCAGGGTGGGCAGAGACCTGAGTCTCCGGAGCCTGGTTCTGGCCCTCTGCATCGGCAGGAGGAACCACTGTAGTTCCCTGGCATGGAGGCGTCCCCAGGGAACCACCTTTAAACAGGAAATCATGATTCCGAGGAGTTGTGATAGTGTGACGATCGGAACAGACATGGATCTCCGACACTGCTATACTCTAAATCTGAGGTTCTACAGGCGGTCTGGAGCGAGGAATACCTGACAAGTGACCGAGTCTATGACCATGCCTAGGTGTTGGATGTGCGTGGTCGGCTCCAGATGGCTCTTCTCCAGGTTCACTGAGAAGCCGTGCTGTTGCAACATACGTATGGTCAGTTGGACATCCTGCCTGGCTTGAATCCAGCTGCTGGAGTGTATGATGATGTCATCCAGATAGCATTCTAGGCGAATTGGACGGTTTCTGAGATGGGCCGCTACCACCGCTAGGATCTTTGTGAATGTCTTGGGTGCAGACGAGAGGCCGAAGGGAATGGCCCTGTACTGGTAGTGCCTCCCATCGTAGAAGAACCTCAGGAACCATCTGTGTGCTGAGTGGATCGGAACGTGCAGGTAGGCCTCCTTCAGATCTATTGACGTGAGTAGATCTTCCCGCCTTATGCACTCCAGGATTGGGTGGAGGGACTGCACATTGAACTTTTTGTAGGCCAGATGCTGATTTAGGTGTTTTAGATCCAATATGGCCCTCCACCCCTGAGTTTTTCGGCACTAGGAAAAGTATGGAGTAGAATCCCCCGCCTTTCCTGCCCCTGGGGTACGGGTTCTATGGCCCTGATCTGGAGAAGGTGGAGAATTTCTGCCTGCATGAGGTTCCTCTTCAGGTGGCTCTTTGGGGTCGGGCACCAAATGAACGTCCTTTGGGGAAAGGACAGGAATTCTAACACTAGGCTTCTCCTGATCGTGTTGAGGACCCAAGAATCTGTGGTGACCTCCTCTCATGCATCGGCGTATACTTGGAGTTGACCCCCTATGGGAGAATTCCTGTGATGGTCACTTGCCCCTGCGGAACTGGTGGGAAGAGCTCCCGCCCTGGTACGGCTTCCGAAAGGGCTGCTGCCTACCACGTGATCTGAAGGAGCCCCTTTCCTGACTCCTGTCCCCACCTTGGGAATAGGGTCTATGGTAAGTGGAAGAGGTGGACGGTTGGTTGATATCCTGGACTGCTTTAGAAAAGAATCAGAATTTTTACGTTCGTTCTTTTTCAAAGTGGCCGGAAGGACCTTCTTGTCTTTCGTTTTGATGACAAACTTGTCCAGGGCGTCCCCAAAGAGCTGCCCCCCCCTTAAACGGGGCCGAAGCTAGCTTCCACTTAGCCTTCATGTCGGCTTGCCAATGGCGAAGCCACAGCAGCCAACGCGAGGTAACGTTGGATGCCAACGCCCTAGAGGCAAATTTAGCAACATTCAACGAGGCATCCGCTGAGTACTCAACAGCTGTAATTATTTTGCTGAGGTCATGCTTCCACCGGGATCCCCCAGCGGGAGGCTTAGCCCTCAACTGCCTCAGCCAGAGAAGGGACGCTCTGGTGAAGAAAGAAGCCGAGGTGGATGCCTTGATAGTCCAGGCGGCCGCCTGGTGTGTCTTGTGGTATGCTTTCTCAAATCTTTTATATTCCGCCTTGAGACCCTCTAGGAGGTCGGCCGGCAGGTTTGAAGTAGATGTCAAGGAAACCACCGGGGCATCCACCTCGGGCAATTTCAACACGTCCTCCATCTTACCTTCAACGGAATAAAGGGATTTATCCCCTCCACTAGGATTGGTCAATGTACCGGGCTGGGCCCATTGACGTTGGACAACGTCCATAAACAGATCCGGGACTGGAATGACCTCCCGAGTAGAAGTCGTCTCCTTGAATAGACCTTCTTTGGGGTCCCTGGAAGAAGAGGACGTAACTGCTGTACTTTTAGGCATAGAGCCCAATTTGGTAGCCACTTTGGCCTTATGTAGTATAGACTTAAACAAGGTCGGCTTGAACAGGCCAGTGAAGGCCGGCTTGTCAGGGGGAACATCCTCATCCTCTGACAATACAAAGCCTTCAGCCTCCTCTTCCTCCTCCCAAACTGACTCTTCCGTGGCCACTGAAGTGCCCGGAGAGGCCGGCGCCTGAACAGGACTATGGCTTGGGGCCCGCTTAGATTTGGATGAGCCCGGTTTACTGGCCTCCCTGTGCTTCATGCCCTCGGCTATGCCCTGGGAGATTGCAATGGAAATGATCTCCCTCATTTCTGCTGACAGGGCAGGGCCCTTGTCCTCTCTGGGGCGAGAACCAGGTCGAGTGGGCCTGCTCCTGCGACTCCCAGTGCTACTCACTTCCTCCGCCGGAAGTAGGCTCTGGAAGGGCTCCAGTTCTTCCCTGAGGGACGAACTTGGGGATTCCAGATACCCCCAGGATGCATCTGGGGAGGATGCCCTGGACCCCTCCCTCATGGGAGATGGGGACCTACTGCCCTGAGGGGATTGGGAGTCTCGTTCCCCTCCTGGGAAATGGGCGAGCCTGACTTCTGCCCTGCCGGAACAGGGGATGCCTGCTGCTGTGGGACCTTGGCCTCCACAGTTCCTTGCTTCCGGGAGCCCTGCCTGGCCTTGCTAGTGGGCCCAGAGGCTCCCGGGGAGGCCTTCCAGGTGGTGCCTTTTCCTCCTTTACTGCCCTTAGGGGGGAACCTCAATTCTGCTGCGTTTGGCGGAGAGCCCTGCCTGCACCTCCGCTCCATCGTCTGCCATGCTTCCTTCGGCCGTGGAGATGTTCCGCAGAGGAAAGGCACAAGACATTTAGCCAGCTGGCTGAAGCGCAGCCGCAGAGCCGTAGGGGAGGGGGGGGGCGCCCGAGGATCGGAACCTCTCTTCCAGCCGCCTCCAGAATATCCGAGCACAGGGATTGGAAGACAGGCCTGGCTGGCGCCCTGGACAAGGCCTGATCTTCCTGGCGTCGATCTGCAACTGAGGGGCTCAGGCGATTCCACTTTCCAATCCGACGGCACACACTAGAAGACCTGCTCTGTGCAAGGTTCAGGAAAAAATGGCGGCCACTGCGTGCGCAGCCCTAGACAGAAAGCGTGCGAAATTCCAAAATGGCCGCTGTCTCTACCGGCCTTACATAGCACCGCTACAGCCGCCGGGGTGCCTGGCCACTTGCAGGGCTCTCTTAACGCAGCGGTGGGGGACCCGCGCGGTCCGGGAAGCTTCCTGCCCGTCCCTTTGCTCGCCAGCCACCACCGGACAAGCTACTCACTGCTTCCCGCCCTGCATGCGACCAGCGGGCGGAGAAATGGATCGGCGCCCTCTTAGCAGGTGTAATTAATTCAGAAGGTTTGAAGATCTCGTAGAATAGTGGATAATAATAATTTTTAAGAGAAATTTGAGCTCGGGAAGTCCAGTTATCTGCTCTAGGACTGGAGCGCTCCCCAAAACAGTCCAAATGGGCAGACTGAGTTTTAAAACTGGAATAATGGAGGCAAAGGGAAGCGTGGCCAAGAGAAAAACTCACTCAATCCTAGGGCAGATAGATTGTGTTAACCCACGCTTGGACTCTCCAAGCAGCGCACTGGAGAAGTTAACTTTTTGGAATAGCTAAATCAAAGACCTATCCTTTATCCTATAGAAGTGTCATGGAAGGTACTGTAGCAGTTCATGAAAGGAAGCCCACCAACATTTCTGTGTTAAAGCTGTTCTGTAAGATTGAGCTAAATTCTCTAAGTTATATGCAGGATTGATCAAATATGTAGAAAGCCAATTTGGCATAGTGGTTAAAACACTAGGCTAGATACCAGGAGACAGTGAGTTCTAGTCCTGCTTTAGGCATGAAAGCTGACTGGGTGACCTTGGATTAGTGACTCTTTCTCAGCCCAATGCAACTCACAAATTTGGTGTTCTGGGGAAAATAGGAGGACATGAGAGATCAGGTGTGCTTGAGTTATTATAAAAATAATAAAGATGGGAAATAAATATTTGAAAAGTTATCAGAAATCTTTAGTTGCAGTTATTGCAGCTCAATGAAGGGACACTAATTAATGAAAGCAAAGGCTCACTTTTGCCACACACAAGTATGTAACTTTGGATCATTTTCCTCAATAAATAAATGGACAAATATAATGTTTTTGACACCCAATTATTTAACTGGGTGTTCTTTTTCTAGTTTTGGGACTATGTGGAAAACAGATCATATTTTTGGCCACATTATGCAGAAAACCGAACAGTCAAAAGGATTCAAAATTAAGCACCAGTGCCTAATAAAATATAACTATTTTTGAAAACCATAAGATTCTAATTATCGTATCACTTTATTCTTTTTTTAACCTTTTTTAATGTACCTGGAAATAAAGCACAGTCATTCTTAATTCAATAATGCATTAAGGTATCTAAACAAAATATTTTTTTTTGAAATACACACCTTTCCAGAAATTATATTTTCTGGTACGTTTGTGATAAAAATCCATTCATGCAACTAAATATATTGTACAGTATAGATAAATTACTCCAGCAAAATAAATAAAAGATACAACAGCATGGAGCTTTATACAATGATCCTTTAAAAGAGTACATAGTATATCTTCTATACCATCCTCTTGTTGAGATCAATTTTATTCACAGTAAGAACTATAACTACATTAAAAAAAACTATATCTGTATTTTATTTCATTTTATACATACCTGATTGGGATTATATAAGAAAAAAGGAGAAGAAAGCGAAAAAGATTGCGGTACCATGGTCCCACAAATCCTTGCAAGGTTACCATAACAACAGAAAGTGCAACTAGAGCCAAGAACAGTGCTTTGGTCAGTTGATTCAGTTCAAGATCCAGCAAACCAACCTAAAAGGAAGCAATATATATTTAATAACTATTTTGCTAAATAACTAAAATGTAAATCATTTCAAAGTACATTTTGTGTCTATTTGACATATCAAAATATAAACAATTAGAAGACTGTACAAGAATATCTGTAGTCAAGATTGAAATATGGAGCCCTTGGTGCTCTCTCCTTGGCTGTTTTCTTGCAGACATTTCATTGCACGATCAGAGTAATTTCATCAGTGCTAGTGAGTGTTGGGTTTGCTTCCTGTTAACATAGCTTATTAGAAGCTTATAATAGAAGAATACACTGATTTTGATGGGATAAGTCACAAACATTTTGCTATATAATTATATATGAACATAAAAAATAAATATATTTATTATAAAATATATATTTTATAATAAATATAATCAAATATTTGGATAATAACATAATTATTGTGGCTTCTTTGTGCCCTTATAAATTGGTTTGAAGCTTTTTCATTAATTAAAAATTATTGCTGTGTTTGAACATGTCTTTAACCAAGAATAATGACATGATTTTATCACTTTTAAGCCTTTATTACATATCATGATTTTAAATTAAATTCCTAACTTTAAAAGTCCCTAAAATATAATTTTAAATACTGTATACAACGTTATACCAATATTTTATATATTAGTGCATAGGGATACTGAGATCTTTATACTCCCACGAGACTTTAAATAGATGCAGGGTTAAATATTAGAGAAATCTGAGTTATCGTTCATAAAAAACATGGAAACATATTTGAAAGACCAATTAGAAATGCTTTTCACATTATAGCATGAGTTATGGGGTACTGTATCTACATTAAATTTCTAGAGAGATATTGCTTTGGGAAGTGGTTGTATTGATATGCAGGTGACCAACAGCTTTATTCTTCTTTTCAACTAATTTGGGTAAAGCAGTGGGTATGTTTAATTGTATTCCATTCCTGCCAGTGGACTGGATGAGAGTCAAGAAAATGAAGCGCAACCTACATATGGATTGTAGTTTTCCTGTAATAAAAGTAACCTATGATTCCCTATGCAATTAGTTCAGATTGAATTTACTGTACTTTGCTTCCACTCATGGTTCCCAAGCCACATGAAGAATATATAAATCCAAAACATATAAAAGAATATTTCTAGTGATTGTTTTATTTCTGGTTCTAACTTTAAACCATTCAAAAATTACAACCCCGCCTCCCAAAAAAATTAACCAAACTCAACCCTAGCAGGTTGTATTACCTTTCTGTATCCACTTGGATTATCATAGAAATCATAATTAAAGTAAGAGTTAAATGATTTCAATAAACTATACAGGTTTGGATTATACTAAATCAGCCTATGGCAAAATGTGTGTAATAGATTAGTTTCACATGAAATTAATTAGATTCAGTTGAACTATCTTAGCTTGAAATGATATATTTGGTGTTGAAACAATATATTTTAAAAAAGGATTTACAAAAGTAAAAATTGTTGAAGGTATTTCTCCAATTACATTTCAATTACTTCTAGTTCAAAAATCATCAACTGAAACAGATTACACTAGTTGATGCTTTGAATATGCGGTTCTAAATGACACTTTCGCAATAAGCTAGTCAAGATTATGATACCACACAGAAATATCAGAGAAAGTTTAATTTGTTAAAAAGAGTAAGAGGGCATAATATTCCAAAAGGACAAAAAATGTATAAGAATAACATTAAAGTACTTCTGGAAAGTTTCAGAATTCATTCTTGTTTATGGGCAGTCTCTTCCCCAGAGAACTCGGCAGCTGAAGACCACAGTGGCTGATTTATCAAGTACATTTAAAAAAGCCAGCACAACGAGAACAAATATCTTACAATATTCGCGGCTTCAACTACTACATAGTTTATGCTTGAATTATTGAGAAAAATAGGTTTCTGGATTAAAATGAAGAAAAATTAAGGCAGGGAAGTAGAGCATGTTTCAAAGCCCTGATCTCTTTGCGTTGACAAAGGCAGTCTAAGTTTCAGGCCTCGCTGAGGATCAGATGAAGTCATTATTCATTCAGTCAGGGAAAAAAGACTCAATTACCTCAACCTAAAGATGCTATCAATGAATGCAAAGTGCATATTTTACTCTATTCATCCAAATCCCATTAAAAAGTGAAAGGAATGATTTAATCTGGCCTTCTAGAGTTGGGCTTTTTTTTGTAATACAATAAAGAATCACTGTCTTGCAATATGCATAACCAGTACCTCACACTTTTCTCGCTGCATCATAGCTCTGAATGACTGTAAAAGCCAAGACAAAACCTGACAGAAAAGAATACAAAGTTTCCTTTGAGAAATGGCATTTATGGGCCCAAATGTTATGCATAGCCTCTGAGTACACATATGTAAATAACCAAAAGGATAAAAACTTCCTAATTGATGGAGATAGATTTGGATGCAAGTTTGGAGCTCATTCAATAAGTTTATGTGCTCTTTAAAATTAATGTAAAAGGTTTTAGAGATACTTATCTGCTTAGCTAATACTAACACTTCTTGCATTCACATGTTTATGGTTTTATCATTTCTATTATGTACACATACACACACACACAGACATTTTCTGATACGCCAAAAAGCAACCATGTCACATTCCCTAACATTTGTAAAAAATGTTATTTGTTAAAAATATTTCATACTAAAAAGGAATTAATTTGGTAATATAAACAAGCAAATAACTTCATCAAAATAAATTTAATTCAAATTTAATCCTGCTGTGTTTTTTCCAATCTTCAATACCTGTAGAATATTTTTTTCATATTTACTGTAATGTTTGTTGTTTTAAACAACTATGATAACAAAATTAAGTTTGAAACTGGAAATTTTTAATCTCTTGGGGAAAATTAGAATAGTTTTGTAAAGGGGGTGTTGTAGGATAATGAACACAATAATTGCCTCTATAATCTAAAATGCTACTAATGGCAACAATCACATATCCATTTAGATCCTCTTTAATTTATGTACCAAGTTTTAAATAGCTAATCACTTTCAGTAAAAAAAAATGGCTTATACCAACAATAAGAGGTAAGATTCGTATTGCTTCGCTTAAACAAGGAAATATCTGTTCTCAATTATTCAATTATTTCAAATAATTGAATAATTAAGCGAGAATTTTAATTTCTGAGTGATAAAGCTAGTGTGATAGATAATTAGGTAACAATAGAAAATATTTTTTATTACATAAGTAATAAAGGGGAAATTATTAAAAGGCCATCTAATGTAAAACAAAACCATTTAAGAGCATAATCATATAGATTTCTATTAAAGCTGACCTTCCACAGCCCTTCCTTTAAATATATTTATTAGACCCTATTTTCAAATTGTTCTGCAAAAGTGAAGCATTCCACAAAGATATTATTAACTGTTATTTATAGAAAGTCATCTTAAGTCAATTAAAATATTAATGTTATTAAAATGAAATTAATATGTTTAGAATATAAGATGAAAACACTTAAACAATCTAAAAAAGGGTATCAGAAAAACTGTAGAATGCCAATGTTATATCTTTTTTGTAAAAGAATCACCTATCTGGATGCTTGGATAGTGCTTGGAATATCAAATTCCTTAGATATTAACCATAGGTTAGAGAGTGTTGACTGTTAATTTTAAAAGCATCCAGATAGGTGATTCTTTTAAAATTAACAGTCAACACTCTCTAACCTATGGTTAATATCTAAGGAATTTGATATTCCAAGCACTATTTTATAATTTGTAAAAAATTTTATTGTCAAATGTTCTTTTAAATTTGATTTTCAGCTATTCTTTCAATATTTTAACGAGTCTATTTATTTAGATAAATTGTTACTAAACCTAAGCAATTTTAAATATTTGCATATATACAGAACATGACTTGTATATCATATGGATATAATATAGTATCAACAAGAATATAGACATCTGCCAAAATCTGAATTACAAACACACACACACACACATTATAGTAATAAAATATCATGCTTATTTCAATCTCAGCATCTTCTAATATTTAATGAATATATCCTGCAATTGAGGCACAGAAGCAAAATATTTTATTGAATATGCCAGCTATCATACAAAATAAAAATCACTACTAAACTAATACTAAAATATAAAAAGTACATTAAAATTATAATTATCATTCAAATTAGACAGATTTTTGATCAACTTTACTGTTTTATTTATCAGTTCGTACTTGCTTGATTCATTTATGCATATTTCACCTGTAGGCCAAATATCATTTTGGCTTTCGATTAATAAATATAAAGTAAAAGAGAAAACCCAAGAATTTGTCATTATCTATATTTTGCCCAAGGCATCTCAATTATTTAATTGCAAAGGAAAGCAATGGCTGAACATGGGAATGCTTCCCAGACAACTAAAATCTGTTCCAAACCTTCTGTACTGGATTACAGTTATTAGAACAAATAAAAAAAATCTTGCTATATTTTAAGAAGACATAAATCCAAAATAACTTGACAGCAGGATATTCAGTCTGGGTACTTACTGGAATAGATGTTTATTTTTTAAATAAGTTGGCTACAAAATGATACGTCAGCAGATCTATTTCTATGTAGTCATCAACTGTCTAAACCTTAAACATTTTGTGTTTAAGGGCAATGTTGCATTTATCTAAGTTCAAATCTTTGGGGAAACTAAGAACAGCAGCCTTTGGGGAAATATATATATATATAAGTTCCACTAAAATGGCACTTTTAATTTAAGTGAGTCAGAAAAATGTACTGAAAGAATATCTGTCTGTCTGTCCAAGAATTACGTGAAGCAAACCCATATAATGATGCTAAACAGCTGGTTAAACAAATAAAGGGCTGAATCTTAAAAAGTACAACTAGACTTAAAAATGCTTCACAAAAAATATTAACTGAATTTCAACATCCTAGTTTATAACTCATCCTGTCAACTATTTCATTGTTTTGCAGAAAAATGTCAAATAATATATTAAAAGTATTTGTTTGATCCTTGGACACAATCTCATTCATAGCCTAATTCAGACAGCAGAGG